TTTTTTTTTTTTTTTTTTTGTATTTTTTAAAATCCTTCACTCTTCAAAGTTCAACCCTTTGGCGCCTAAAAGTGCTTTCAAAATTTGCTTTCGAGGTATTGCTGGCGCCTGTGGGCGCCTAACTGACATACTTCGCTGAAACGAGAGACGGCTGTAGGCGCTCGCTTGCTCGAATCAAACGTGAATGAATTTTAATTCAAAAATTACATCTTCCATTAGTCACGTATTATTTAAACGTGATTTCTTTCTTCTTGCAGTTATTTCGTCTAACATGCTTGAAATGAAAAGGTGCGGTAATAAATTAGGCGCGAACGTATAGTGTAGTGTAGTAGAAAACATAACATAAGAAAGAAGGGAGTCGCGTTGCAAATACAAGAAATGTAATGTAGGATTATGTTTCGAACCACACTTTACTAGATTATTAAATTACGAAATAAAGCGTTATCTTAACGTTTATGCTATTAAATTTTCCATAAATGAATAATATTGGTATAATATTCGACGCAGTGCAATTCAGTGTTTTGATTATATACTTTCTGTGAAATGCACACTAATAAATTTCTACTATACTACGTAAAGTCTATCGTAGCCAAAGTTGTGAAGAAGAAATCTAACAGACCGATAAATCACACGAAGAAAAAAAAAAACAGAATGAAGATTACAAGCTGTCGTACATTGTATATTTTTAACTTGATATTTTCTAATTTCAATTTTAATCTCCGATTAAGCTCGAGATTGATCGCGAGATTAACGATCCGCCGTCTGTTTTACGAACCGCAGACGACAGCGTGGGTTGCCTAGGAGACGATTACTGTCCACCCCAATGTAATTGCGCCGGGTCAGTGGTGAGATGTTCGAGGTCTCAGCTTACGGAGATTCCACGTGGGATTCCGCCGGAAACCACCGAGTTGTATTTGGACGTGAACGACATCAAGACGATCCAGCCCGAGAGACTGAACCACCTGAGGATTCTCACTAAACTGTAAATAAAATACACGTGTGACCTCCCCCCGTAGCG